TATATTTTGTATATATTATGTATATGTAATATATCATGTATATTATGCACATAATATATACATATATACATATATACTTAATATACATATATATTTTGTGTATATGTGTAAGTATACATATTCCATGGAATGTATAGATTATATATATACACACACATAATATATACACATGCACATGGAGCTTACATTGTGGCTAGTCCTCTATGTATATATTTTACACACACAAACACACATATGTAATATGTAATATATAGTTTAATATTTAATTTATATGTGTATATATTATGTTGTATACTTTAATAATATTTAATTTATATATTTGGGATTTGCTATTTGATAAGCACTATTATGAGCACCTTTATTGAATTAATTTGTTTAATTCTAAAACTAGTGGTCAACTCTTAGCTCTTGTCTTACATGATTTGTCAGCAGCTTTTGATAGAGCTCCTCTCCCTTGTTTTTAAAATCTTTCGTTCAGGTAGTTTTCTGTACCCCATTCTTTCCTGATTTTCCTCATTCTTCCCGGTGGCTTTGTTCTCTGTTTGTTCCACCTCTTCTTTTCAATAATATCCTAAGGCTCAATGTTTGTTCCTCTTATCTTTTATGTCTGCATTCTTTTGTTGATAATACAGCCTCAAGACTTCATTCACATCACCAAAACAATTGAATTTAGATTTTCACTCCAACCTCTCAGTTGAACTCCAGATTGTGTGTCCTACTGCCTACTAACCATCTCCTTTTGGGTGTTCGATGGACCAGCCAACATGTCAAAAAATACACCTACTTCCATTCATGATCTCAGGATAGAGACTTCATCCTTCTTATGATTAAAGCCCGAAACTTTGGTGTTATTCTTGACTCTTCTCTTTCTCTTAAATGCCAAATCTTCCCATACAGTTCTCTCAGGAAACATCCAGAATCTGCCCATTTCTCATGATCTTCATTGTCACTTTAATACCCTTGTCACCACCCTTGAATATGCCCCCTACTGCATACTACCAGCTACAAACCCCACCAGAAAAGAGACAATGTAGGCATGGCAATACTCTGGTCTTCTTTAGGGCAGTGTTTTTCATATTGTGGATTACCATTCATTAATGGACCCTGAAATCCATCTAGTGGATTTTAAACAATATCTAAATAGATTAAACAGAAGACAGTACATTCCACTAGAAAGTATCACAGTAACCTGAATTTAGTAAGGTAAAGTATTATTCCGTGAAGCTTTGTCTCCATTATAATTATGAATATGCATATTGGGTTGTGCTATTCAATGTATTTCTTTCTATGGGTCACAGTCAATATTTTAGAAAATTTTAAAGCACATCAAGTTATTCTAATTAAAATTTCACCCAAATTATTGGTGATAAAATATAATTTGAATTTTGGTAGTTTGATATCTGACTCAAACAATAATGAAGGAAAATAAAACAGGTTACAATTACTTGGCTCAATTTGATGGCAAAATAACTTTTATCTGTTTGTAAGGTACCAAAAAGTTTTAGAGGTTTTTAGTTTAAGGAACAGTTGTCATTTAATATGTAAAAATGCAATTAAGACAATGTTTATACTAGGTCTATTTATAATAACTAGGAGATGTTTAAGGGAAATCTATATTAAAAAAGGAATAATAAAATAATCTCTGGAATTTTTCTTGAAATAAAATTATTAACTGGAGAATATTATTTTATTTTTTAAAAATCCTCTCAAATTATTTTAAACTATGCCTCTGGTAAGAAATTCAGCATATAAATGACTTTTAACAAGATATCTTAAAACCACTTCTTTTTACTGTAAAACATATAGCGTAGTATGTACTAACAAATGTGATTGAATTTATAAAACGACTAGAATTAAGTGGGGAAAAGATATTATTTTCTTAAAAGTCGTGTTTGTTATGCTGATACGTTGTGAGAAAATAAATTTTGGTAAATTGCTAATAATAAATATTGTTGAATAAATAAATGAACTCTAATGGACTAGTCTTTAATACTCATATTGGAAACTATATATGCAAGTACTTATTCTGTTGCTATTACATACCTTCTCAGGTAATAATGGGGAACATAATTAACTATCGTAAATGGTTGGTCCTCATAATGAATGACTATGAGAGAATAGCACAAATGGTTGAATGCTCCTGATAAATACATTTGAAAATAAAAAAAAGAATGTATTTCCAATAGCTTTTTGTCGTTCTCCTTCTTTCTGAGCCCTTTTACCTTCCCCTTCTGATGGTGGTGCAAGGTGAGAGAGAGAGAGAGCTGTGTCTAACACCCAATCTAGGAATCAGTTTATTTCACAGGCTGGTTAAATGGTAAACAAAAATTATCTTACAAGCTTACTTACAGACGCGACAGGCCTTTTCTGGATTTTCAGTGAGCTAACCTGTTCATATATAATACGAGTAACTAAACTTTAGGTAATGATATCCTATTAACGTTTTTATAGCAAATCACATTTGGGTCAGAAATCTTCCTTTTTTCTGTAGAAGGTATATAACTGCACAGAAATCACAAACTTTAGTACTGCTCTTGCAGACATTTAAAAATATTCCATCACATTCTCTTTCTTAATATTAGGCCACAATAATTATTTGGTATCTTTCTTTTACTAATTTTTAATGGGTCTGAAAGAAATACATTTAAAAGAACACTTTGGATGGATAGAGAACATGCAGTTTGCCCCATTTTTTGTTCTCATTCCTCCTCCTTTCTTTCTTTATGTAATCTTATAGCTAGTAGCAGAATGAAATATGATGAAAGAATTAATGTACATCTCAACACTATAGTCTCATTGGATATTAAGATGCTGATGGGCAGATTTATTGTATTATGTTGTATTCAGCATGTTAAACTGTATTTTTTTGGGGGGCGGGGGGGATGGAGTCTCACTCTGTCACCAGGCTGGAGTCCAGTGGCACGATCTTGGCTCACTGCAGTCTCCCCATTCCAGGTTCAAGGGATTCTCCTGCCTCAGCTTCCCAAGTAGCTGGGACTACAGGCACACGCCACCACGACCAGCTAATTTTTGTACTTTTAGTAGAGACGGGGTTTCACCATGTTGGCCAGATGGTATCGATTTCTTGATCTTGTGATCCACCCACTTCAGCCTCCCAAAGTGCTGAGATTACAGGTGTGAGCCACTGTACCTGTCCTCTATTCTTTATTCATTAGAATAATTTCAGTAAAACTTACTTTGCAGTTAATCAATGTAAAGATTTTTTTTTTTCCTCAAAGCAAACAAGTACACCTTGGCCGTGGTCATTATTAAGCAAAAAGCATGCCATTGGATAGTATCAATTGTTGTACAAAATTACAATTTAAAGGAATGTAAATAGTTTTATAAGGATAGATTTTGAATCCATTTTTTTCTTTTTATTTTCTTTAAGAGATATTTTGACCTTACTATGAAGCTAAGCTAGAGAAGACATTGGCAGAACTCTGTGGGTCCATAGGTTTTGATGAGAATTTAGTAAGACAGACAATAATACCTTGCCAAATTATTAATTTCAATTCTCTTCATTACTATAGAATCTTAAGATTTATAGAATACCTCAAAATGTAAGAAGATGGATGGCAAAGAGTTGGAACTTTTTAGCTTTCTATACTCTAACAAGTCTTAGTTGTGTGACTCCTATGTAATGCTGTGATCAATATTGAGATCAACATCTTAATTAACATAATTGTCGTGTTTTTGTTTTTGTTTTTTTGTTTGTTTTGTTTTGTTTTGTTTTGCTTCTCACCACAAATGGTTATAAACTGGTAATCATATTGAAACCAATCATTTAAAAGCCATGGGGCCTGGGTATGGTGCCTCATGCCTGTAATCCCAGAAATTTGGGAGGCCAAGGCAGGTGGATCATTTGAGTTCAGGAGTTCGAGATCAGTCTAACCAACATGGCAAAACCCTGTCTCTATAAAAATACAAAAATTTAGCTGGGTGTGGTGACCCACACCTGTAGTCCCAGCTACTTGGGACGCTGAGGCAGGAGAATTGCTTGAACCTGGGATGTGAAGGTTTCAGTGAGCTGAGATCATGCCACTGCACTCCAGCCTGTATGACAGAGCAACATTCTGTCTCAAAAAGGAAAAAGGAAAAAAAGGCCATGGGAATCACCCTTTTAAAATAGCAAAGACAACACCTATATTGAATCAGAAGATAATTCACCTCTAGAAATGAAAGTACATTTTTTAAAATAAAGATTTGCTAGGTTTAGGATGAAAATATGCTTCATTGCTGGGCGCGGTGGCTCATACCTATAATCCCAGGATTTTGGGAGGCTGAGGCGGGTGGATCACGAGGTCAAGAGATCAAGACCATCCTGTTCAACATGGTGAAACCCCGTCTCTACTAAAAAATGCAAAAATTAGCTGGGCTTGGTGGCGCACACCTGTAGTCCCAGTTACTTGGGAGGCTGAGGCAGGAGACTTGCTTGATCCCAGGAGACAGAGGTTGCAGTGAGCCAAGATCGCACCATTGCATTCCAGCCTGGGTAACAAGAGTGAAACTCTGTCTCAATTTAAAAAAAAAGAAAAAGAAAATATGCTTCATTTTCATATTATATTAATCCTTTGTCCCTCTTATCTATCTTTTGACATACTTAACAAATATTGCTGGTTGAATCTAAATTACCCACATCCTAACATTCTAACACTCGCACATGCAGCAATCTCAATCTGTGTGGAAGCTTTCACTGGGACTTACTTGCAAAGTACAAAATCCAGTTTTATGTTAAGTAGGTGGGTTGCTAATCTGCAAGAATGCCATTCTTGATCAGGCCTTTATGAATTGTTTGTAAGTACTAGCTGGACAATGAAAGCTTTATATTCATTCTGCAATTAGTCAAAATAATTCTAGTTAAACTCTGGTTAAGACTTCTAGTATGAAATGAATGTAAACTATTCATTCTTTATCGTTCTTTCTGGTTTCATTTTGGCACATGTCTTTATTAAAATATAATCCTCTAAGTTTCTTTTTCACTGCTTTTCATGTTGCAGATTGAAAATGTTGATGTCTGCCTTAGTTTTCTAGCAGCCAGAGGGGTAAATGTTCAAGGTCTATCTGCTGAAGGTAAGAAAAAGAATGACTGAATTGTCACAAATGGCATCAATGTTTTACAATTATTATTTATAAGTAAGAAATGTACCATTGGAGTATACAGCTCTTTAATATGATAAAGGAAATTGGTGAAGTCTTCAAGAGAACTGAAACATAAACATAATGGTTATTAATACGTGCTTTAAGTATTTAAATGTTTCCATATTCTGCCAGAACTGTTCTTGTCATAACCAAGTGTATGGGAGGGGAGTGAATCAACAAGATATCTTTATGTTATTATTAGTGTGTAGTATACTTAGATTTCTTAAGTAGATAAGTAGATAATTAGACAAGTGTTGGATGGACATAAATATCGGTAAAATATTTTAATTAAGTCTTAAATATTATTTTATCAATAACATTTCTATAATATATTCAAGTTGGTAGTAATAGTCAAAATAGTTGGTAAGTTTAAATAAGTCACTATGAGTTTTTAAATAAGTAGAACTAACAGTATTAATCACTGTTATATATTAATGTTTTAAATCATTAAAGAGGCAAAAGATCATCACTAAAATTGAAATATAGCAAAATGGGAAAACCTTGAAGAAGTTTTGACATTTATCTTTTTCTGAATTTATTTTACTTTCACATATAAAGGGTGGCAAAAGTTTGCAAAAGCTTGTTATAACATAAGATAAAATTTGCCATACTTGAGATCACTGACATTTAAATTTATTTTATTTTAATATGTTATGATATATAATTAAATTACACATTTAATAGCCAAGGAGTTTAGGTTCAAAACTAACTGGTAGTTCTGTAACTTAGAATAACATTTGAATAAAATTCCCCTGGAGAATACGTTGCTAAGTAGTTAGAGGCAGGCTAGAAATGATGTCATTTGTTCATTTTTTTGTGTCTCTTCCTTATGAAAGCCTTTATTAATATAAGCCTCTTGATTTTCATTCATCTTTAAAAAAATATGAATGCTCAAAAATTACGTTCTGAATTAATTAAACATGCAAAATAATAAAACGATAATTTAAAAAGTATATATATTTAAACAAAATCTTTCAGGTTTATAGGAGAAAATCAGCACTTTCACTATAGCCTCAGATTGATGACCATAGCCTCAGATTGATGAAAGCAGTTCTTTAATATGACAAAAACCGTGAGAAATGTGAGAAATGTTTGTGGGAAAATGGAACAACTCAGAGGGTCATTTTATATGAATTATTTTACTGCATAGTTTGAGTTATGTGATAAAGCATCAGACAGCAAGAAATCCAAAGAATTGGTTAATTTTCCTCAACTCCAAAAGGGGACATATACCTTGATCTCAGAGGAGGATGTGTTTTATTGCCAACAGCAAGTTTTACTTAAAATATGATTACAGGCTGTGTAGCCTGCTTTCAAGGTCTACTTCTTTCTCTTTTCCTGTTTTTAAAGTTATAACTACAGGAGAAAAAGGTAGGCTTATGTGTAGCCTTCCTTGTAAATTTAATTTTTTTATTCAATGTTTGAAAATCTTACACAGGAGCTTCTTCTGTTAGAACAAGGATTTCTACCTATACTTATTCGGTTGTGTAATCCAATATAAGCTGATCTTCACGATTTATTAATATATGGCATAAATTAAAAATAAAATAATTGGAACATTAAACATTGATATGGCTGGTTTTTGGAAGACATACATACGTATATTTTGATAAATAAGGATATATATTTGGAAGATATATACATACATAAATATGCACAAATGAGTTGGTGATTTAGAAATTTGACTGCAATGAATTCAGTTGGTATCATGAGGTGCATCCATGTCATCAACATTTATAAATGCAGGATAACCAACATTTAAGTGGCTTTCTTTCTTCAGTTCATTGCCACTGCTGTGATGGCAACAGTTGTAAGGACAACATGCTAAATCATATGGTTAGCACAAGAGAGAGCTCATTTATTTCCAAGAAACAGCTAACTGGTGAAAAATTGTAGTTCAGGGTCAACAAGGAATATCACTTTTGAGTGTACTTTGTTCTTTTTACCTTTTTTCCTTTTATTCTTCCCCTGAAATTCCATGTTTTTGGAAATGTTAACATGTTTCAGAAGTTCAGGTTTGTTTGAATCACTGACTGAGAGAATTAAGTTGTATTTCTATCTGCATACATTCATTTCAAGATGATTACATCTAGAATTTAATTTATTAAAAGGGACATGCAGTACATATGATGCTTTTTTGTGTGTGTTTTTCATTTCATACAGAAATAAGAAATGGAAACTTAAAAGCCATTCTAGGGCTGTTTTTCAGTTTGTCTCGCTACAAGCAGCAACAACACCATCAGCAGCAGTACTATCAGTCCTTGGTGGAGCTTCAGCAGCGAGTTACTCACGCTTCCCCTCCATCGGAAGCCAGTCAGGTCAAAACCCAACAAGATATGCAGTCCAGGTAAGAAAAAAAGTAGAGAATGTGTTTCAAATAGTTGTGTAGATACAACTTATTTTTAACAAATTATTGTCCACGAGTTTGAAAAACATATGTGCTTGTATCAGTGTGATGGGTTTATTTGACTCATGTAACAGAAATTAAAACCACTCTTCTTTTGCTTGGACAAGCAACATCTATCATCTTTTGAGTGACGTATTTGGTTTGCTTTCTAAAGATTGTTGTTCTGTATCAAAGTGTAAAATGTCTTTGGTGTAAGTAATGTGCCATAGCTACTTTCTTTTACAAATGACTTAAGTATTTAGAATTGAGTCCTTGTCTCCTGTCGTGTAGTTACCTTTCATTGATGCTTTTGATTAAATCTGTCAAGAATTTCAGGTCTGTTAAACATAGGACTTTGAGGTTTGGGAACATACAGTTTTTGGGGTGTGTGTGTGTGTGTGTGTGTGTATGCACATACATGTATTATTTGTCTGGCTTGAGTCTTTTGGCACATGTAGACACAGCCGGCAGTGGAGTGCTCCCAAATCATAACAACTTTTCTTTTCTCTTTCTTTATTGACTTTTTTTTTCCAACTTAGAATTATATTAGTCAGTTTTTAACTAGAGGAGCCAAGCAAGTAAAAGATATATAACAAAAGATTTATTGTGAAGAATTGGTTTAGCATGATTATGCATACTGGTTAGGCCAGTATGAAATCTGAAGGGCAGCTCATCCGGGAGGGCAGGCAAAACTCTTGTTGTGAGCTGAAATTGCAGTACACAGGTAGAATGTCTTCTCTCAAGGAAGCCTCAGTTCTGCTTTTAAAAAGCAGAACTTTCGGCCGGGTGCGGTGGCTCATGACTCTTATCCCAGCACTTTGGGAGGCCGAGACGGGTGCATCATGAGGTCAGGAGTTCAAGACCAGCCTGTCCAATATGGTGAAACCTCGTGTCTACTAAAAATACAAAAAATAGGTGGCAGGCACCAGTAATCCCAGCTACTTAGGATGCTAGGGCAGAAAATTGCTTGAACCCCGGAGGCAGAGGTTCCAGTGAGCTGAGATCACGCCACAGCACTCTAGCCTGGGTGACAGACATTACCTAGATTATCTAAAATAAACTTTACTGAAAATCAATTTATTATAGACTTTTATCACATCCTCAAAATACCTTCATAGCAACAACTAGATTAGTATTTGATGGAATAACTTAGACTGCAGTCTAACATAGTTTCCATATCAAAAAATAATGATCAAAGAATGAAGTTTCACTTAACAACTTTCATGCAAACTGCTACATTTGTTCCTGAACAGTGATTGGGGTATTGGTTAGTTAGCTCTATTACATAAATAGTTATGATTATTTTTCTTGAGAGGATATGAAAATCCCTTTCATTGTCTTTGAAAATATGTACCCATGTCAAACAAATATAAATATTTAAGTTTGTCCACCTTAGAATTCAAGCTTGGAACCTACTAAGTTAACCCTGAGTTTGGTAATTACAAATGACTCAAACAATTAAAATAATGTTCCAAAATGCATTATGAACCATGTCTTACTCTGCCTTACTTACTTCAATTGTCAACTGCTAAGAAAGCACCTTTTATCTATCAATCTTCCTGTCAACCTTTTTTGTTACTTCATGGTAAACAATATTTATTTCTTTATCTAACCATGTAAATTATATTCCCTTTGGAAGATATTCACTCATCAGTGAATTTTTAAATGAATAAAAAAGCAATACTTTTACTAAAAATGTAGCATATGTTTATGAAGTGATGGGGATATTTTTTATTATAAAATAATGCAGATATTTACTCTTTAGGCTCATCATGGCTTTTGGTTATAGCAAGAGAGATTGTACAAGAGTCACAGTGGAAAATAAATCTCTATAGGATAAGTTTCTTGGATTTTGATAAGCATAGAGAAGGAGAAAGTGGAAGGCATAGGGTTTTATATATTATTATTTTTTCTTATGGATGGCTGGAACAAAGAGATGGATTCTAAAAAGTGTCAGTAATAATATTTACTAGAGTTTGATTTAGGCAATTTAAATAAGCAAGACACAAGAATAGTAGCCAAAAAAATAAAGGAAATAAAATTATTTTGTGTAAAGCAGGTAGACTCTGGAAGTGATATAGAATATCATTTGACACCGTTTTACCTCACTCTTTTCCCGTATCTTCCATGTGGAATTTCTTGTCCAGAATTTCTTGCCCAAAATTTCTTGGTAGTTATGACTCTTGTAGAAAAACGTTTCTTTTACTGTTCTTCTTGCTGGATATACATGGCTGTTGTGAAACTATGGGGTATTTAAAAATATAAAGCCATATATAATACTCATGGCTTTTATACTATTTTGTGGAAGGATGTCTCAATTTTTTATTACAAGTTTATAAAAAGTATTCTTTTCAACAGTGTCCTTTAAGGCTGAGGTAGACTCTTAGCAAAATTTTCTTTTGATAAATTGGATGTAATTATTTTTTGAATTGATACGTAATTTAATAAATGTTTATAGAGTAATAGCTTTACTAAAAGTTGTATTCAGGACCCTAATATAGAAGAATTCAAGTCTTAATAATCTTACTTTTAATTGAATTTGTTACATATTTTAAAGAATATGATATTTAAGACAATACTTATTTTCATTGATATAGATTTGGTGTATCACATTAATATATGAATTAAAATTTATGTGGACTTACCTGTAGCAATCAATATTTTTAAAGCATTTTTCTAAATCCCATAATAGTAATATACATAGGAACATAATATAGCATCTATCTGTTAGAAACAAAATAATTAATGAAGAAAAAAATCCTAGTGACAAATTTATTTTCATTTGCTGCAGATGTGAGTCATAAATCATGATTTATGATGCCTTCTATTGATTTCTAAGTTCCTTCCAAGTAAATAGTTTAAATGACAACTTGCTATTCTTTTCTGGATATTTGGCCAGAAAATGTTCTTATATTTTTCTCTGTAGACTAATAAAAATTTCTTAGGGTATGTTGTTTCAGTTCTGTGAAAGTGTTTCTGTTTTATTCTCTTTGTTTAAAATAAATTGGCATAATTCTACATATTTCCACAACATTTATTTTATACATTATTAATTTTTAATTTGATTTTGCTACTTTGAAAATAACTCCAGATATTTTTACTCAATTTGAATAGCTTTCATTTAAACATAAATTTGGATTTAAAGGTTGACAAGTGAAATATTCAGGAGAAAACAATTAAACATGAACCAAGAGGAAAGAATAGAGCAAAAAACTCTGCTCTCCTGTCTCTCAGCTCCTTCTCCACCTTTGTGTGTGCATAGGTGCATATGTGAGCTTGAGTGTGTGTGTGCACAAGTGTGCATGCATGTGTGTCCTGCTTAAGTGGCACCTAGAGCTCTAAGTATTAAGAGTTCCCTTCTGGAATCAGACTGCCAGGACCTGGATCTGTATTAAAATAAAGGTGGGATTCAGATTTTAAGTTTCTTAAATTCATTACAAGGAATTATTTGGCTATATTTGGAGTGACAAAGACTTGATTAACCAAGTAATTCTTTAAAATTTAAATATATTTAATATAAAAATTAGATTTTATCTGTGTCAGTATTTGTGGATGGACTTTGTGTGAGTAAAGATTAAATATCCTGCTATATTCCAAAATATTAAGCCTCTTATTTACATTTATTTAATATAAGAAGTAAAACTAGTTCACTGTATAGTCCTTAATTTTCTTTTTATTTTGAAAAAGGTAGATAAAAATTCTTCTTTCCAATCAAAAGGGGAAATGAGAAGTATTTTAATATAAAATGCTAAAAAGTCATATATGAGTGTTGGTATCATAGTTATTTTCCACAGTTATTAATTGGGAGATGAAGAAAATCCTATTTCTTATTCTAGGAAACAATGTAAAAATAAATCCTATAATTTTAAAACTCATAAAATTCATTTTCATCCTAGGCTATTTCTGTGAATCTTACGTTTTCATATGTCACATTTCAACAATTAGAGCTCTAGTTGACATGAAAGCTAAAGAAAATTCCATTTCACTAAAACCCTGTGCAGTATCTGGCACATACCAGCCAACCATACTCAGTAAATGAATGTATGATTTTCCTAAGAATATCTTATAACAACCTTTCAGTGCAGAAAATATAAAATGAAATTTGATTTTTCTTATGTACTGACCTAGTTATACACAAGGTGTTAGGATGACAGTAGATGTAAAAGATAAAATTTTTTGTTTGTTAAAAGTTTTTTTTTAAAGACATGCTTTTCCTTAAAACACATGCATTTATCTTATGAAATGAGTTTCCTTTCTTTTATCAAATAGCTGATGACTTTTGCCAACTCACAGGCAGTGGTTATTAAATCACATCGATAAATAGTTTATGTAGTATGAAATTAAAACATGTATAAAGAAGAAAATTGAATATGAAAGTAGAGGTAAGAGATTACATAGATAGATGATAGAGGTGGCAAAGCCAGTGGTAATAAATCTTTCTGAATTAAAAATAAAATTATTTGCAGAACTTGAAAGATCATGATCTCTGCAGATGATCAGATATCCTTCTGCTTTTGATTTTGTAGGAGCAAATCAAGAATGTGTCCACTTTCAGTTAAGATGAACGTGTTCCTACAGGACTCACAAGTTAAATTGTGAAATCCCCGGGTACACGGGTACACGTTTTCTGAATGACTTGTCTGTTCCCTTGCAGCCCCTTTCCAAGGTCCCTGTGACCTCTACCACACACGTTGCTCTTGGAAACCCCTTACCATAGAGGACATTTGCCTTCCAGGGTATCTTTTCCAGGAAACATGATTTCTTTCTGGGAGATTGACTCTGAAACTGGATGGTTTACAGCTTTTTGGCCAAAGGTTATAAATCTGGAGGAGTATATAAGGAAGTCTAATTTAAGATGACAGGAAGGCTCTAGTAATTTAAGCCCCTGTGAACCTGGCTTCAATTAGTTGCCTAATTGAAGTTCTGTGTTGTGGCCTATCATGTGCTCTTTAAAAAAGTCA